AAGATCCTTTACAGTTTCAGAGTATCAGAAAACTTACTATCATGATTTTAACACAATCTTTGATAGGTCTGTTTTACACTATCAGACAGCTTTGGTATACGGCGGGTTATTCGTGACTATTTCCCTCGAATTAATTTCTACCAATCAGAATCGCGCAATTTCGAATTGCAAATGATTTCTAGATGTAAAAATTTTATTACAGTACCTGTGAGCAGTTTTTTCGAGTTTACCCGCGGCAAAAATTACGATACATTTGATGACAAGTAATTATGGCCTCCTAGGGCACCAGAAAGCGACGCTAAACAATTTGTCTGAATTTATTGTCAATGAATTTTGTAATATTGTTTTTAAACAGTGCTAGTCAGCTAATTTAGTAAAAATGATTTGCTTTGTTTGGAAGTGATACTTTGACTAATATTGATCTGTAGATTGAGAAAAGTATACCGTACGATACCGTTAAAACCCATACGTCTATATGGAAACAGTTTACGGAATTCTGCAAGGCAAAAAAATTCGAGCTTTTGGAAACTACAACTTTAGAAACTAAACTAAAAGTGTGTAGTATTTTGTGATTAAATAAATTACCGGTATTTCAGTTTGTAGGTAGTATGATTTGTACGCTATGTGTATGCAGAATTATCTGTTACTCATGAGATAGTCTTGTCAAATACCATTCGGGCATCTAATTTTTTCCTGTGAAAAACATCGAAAGAACACAATGCGAAGTACGATTTTTTAACAAAAAACATTCGTGCAGACCCAAAAATCCGCGTCTTCGACTCGGATTCTTTTTGCCACCGTCTTGTTAAAATATTACTTTGTTTTTTTTCGGAAAAATTAGATGCCCTTATGATATAACTTATGAAAATTTACTGCCATCATTACAACCACCCTTGGCACAGTGTTAAAACCGACAAAAAAGATATGCTTCATTTTTGACAGTACAATCCGAAGGTTACGTCGAATGCATAACAGTCCGTAACGGTGAGTATACCATAGCATAAGTGCTTCTTTGCCAATACAAATACACTTGGTCAAATTTAAAGATGTCGGACTGTTATCCTAATATATGCATACGATTCAATTTGGAAGTACTGTCATTGATATTATTCAATGTTCAAGTTCAACAACAGTATGTTGGATGTCTTGAGTGAAGAATATGGTGAAGGAGCATACCTGTATTTGGCGTCCTAATGATGGTGAACGTGTAATATTAAAAAACGTTCGTCAATCGACTGTCACTTGGGTACATTAAAATTAAAGCTAGAAGTTATTGTATTCATAATATTCCTGATAACATACTGAATATGGTTTCCATCAATTGATCAGCATTTGTTATTTTTATTTGCGACCGGCTTATTCTCGGTTTTCCGGACGTTGAGTCTCACCTCTCAGGTTATGGTATACTTTATGCCCAGGGCGATTAGCTTATTTTGAACGTAATTCCGCTACACCAGAAACAATTTTTATTTATTTTGTTGCTAGACATTGGTCATACTAGATAGTGCTACTTCAGTTAAGGAAGTCGATTCAGTGGAATCGAAGTTTCCGGTAGTTTCCAAATTACGTTATTGTATGTTTTTCAACTCAGATAATTTCAAGCGTAGTCAAAAGATTTCTGATCCTTATGGCGTAGTCAAAAATACTTCAGAAATACCAAAGAAGGGAGGAATTACATAACCGAGGTCATGTAGATATACAAGTCCGCTCTACCCCACAACAACCAGCCGTCTCCGGCATGACCAAATGACAAACGTGAGTCATTTCTATAATGTTGCCATTACTTATGTTAGAGTCATGTCTTTACGTGAAATCTTATCTACCTACTTAAAAGTAGTATATAGTATGATTATTAAGATTTTTTTTAATACATATTCACATTATACAAGCACGGTTCCCAATTATATATGAATTGAAAATATCGACAGATGTATCTCAAATTGCGGGTTAAGTGGAAGAGCAGCTACAGCTGAACTTCGCCCGTATTTGGCTATTTTTCATATACTCAGTCTATTTGGAAATAAAGACGTTTATTATTATTATTATTATTATTATTAAATACATGGTATTGGACACTGTAGTCCTTTCTCTCCAGAACTTCAATTCTTCATTCAATTGCCTGGTACTCTGAAACAATACAAACAATATTTCGATGTTATTTCTGAAGTTTTCGTAAATGTATTTGCACTTTTCGATATCCTTAAATGAGTTGCTTTAGGTGGTCAAAATGTTGCTTTACATGTTTCACACACATTGTGTTCATGATGTTAGCCAATACCAGTAAGAATTATAAAAGGATTTTTTCTTTATACTCCAACTACCACGAAGACCTAAGGCCTAAACACCCATGGGGTACCGTGGGGCTATAAGGTAATACAGAGGAAAGGGGGAACGCCACGCAAGAGAACACGTGTGCATGCAATATGCACACATTCTGGCCCCGCCTACGAGATCCGCCGGGTGGTACCTCTACGTTCGACAGTCAGAGACCATCTGCCACCTACGGACAATCGCAACATACATACCCAAGACAAAAATTTCTCTTGGGACGGGATTCGAACCCGCATGGCGACTCATCAGGAGACCGAAGAGTCTACTACTGTGGCCAGCGTTGCTGCCTGTGTATGTCACTACAAAAAAGTGTTAAATATGTCTACTTTATATATCGTTGCCAACAACAACGGAGCCTACCTGTCACTGTTGCTTTAACCCAGCACCTTATGACTGAGTCTCCTCTGTAACTTCTCCATATCCAACAATAGTCACTCATGCTGTTGCAGCTGCTGATGATACCTGGAATCATCAGCATGATAATGCTGAGCTGACTTGTTGCTCAGTGAGGTAAGCCGAGGGTGTTTTCCCTAAAAATTACTGAAGGCAGAAAACCGATTGTCTTGGCGCCGTATGGTCAGTGGTTTCTACAATTGTAGGACGCCCTTATGACTTCCTTGATTTTCATAGTTTTCCTTGACCTTCAGAAAGATAGGGGTATTTCTAGATTTCTACTGTTTCGTGTAAGCGCTCTATTTTGAGGTTTTATTTTCTTTTTCAATTCTAAGATGTTTCAGGCTGAAAAAACTTAATTTTTGTCATCTGTTTATCAGCCTGAAATTTCTTAAGGATCAAAAAACATAACCATAAAGGTATCCTATAGTTATAGGAATGGCTGATAATACAGCCCTTAATGGTTATGTATGGATATCAGCAATATCAGCCTTATGATGGTAAACGATGACCAACACATTAAATGACAAGTGCATTATATAACAAGATACTTTGTTTTTGATGACGAATAACATCTGGGAAGCATTAGCGTTTTTTTCTTTTTCATTGCACGACTGTTATTGCCTTATTATTTTTCACATTTGATTATCAGTTCTCAAGTCTGTGAGGTTATCAATGGATTATCCCAGAAGGAATAAGCGGCAACGCTGCCAAGAGTGGGAATGCCATTTGTCAATGTCAAAAATTTCAAGACAAGCTTACTTAATCAAATGGGTAGAAAAGGTGGTGGGTGAAGTAGTAGAAATAAATTCCCAGAAAGCCTTATTTATAGTGTTTCTATTATTCGAAAGCCGCGTTCAAAAACGCCATACAAACAGAAATGAGCACTTTGCTATTCTTTACATTATTTACCAAGGAACAGTCGAAAGACCCACTGAACGTGCTCTAAAGAAGGCGAAGGCTATCCTATAGGCCGGAAAGGTAATGGCCACCGTCTTCTGAGATTCACAAGGTGTGATCTACATTAAATACCTGCAAAAGCGCAAAGCGGTCACAGAGCTCTATGCCGAATTATTGGGGCGATTCGACGCCATATTGCAGAAAAAAAGGCCCCATTTGGCTAAGAAAAATGTGCTCTTCCACCATGATAATGCACCATCTCACACCTCCGCCGTCGCCACGGCCAATCTCGTCGAATTAGACTACGAACTACTGCCCCATCTACCGTATTCTCCACAGGTGGCCCCGTGCGACTTTTTTCTGTTTTGAAACTTGAAAAAGTCACTCGCCGGACAGACATTTGAGTCGAATGAGGTTATCGAAGCCACGGAGACCTACTTCGCAGACCTCCAGAAAAGTATTTTTCACACTATTTAAAGAAGTCGGACCATCGCTGGGTCAAGTATATTGAGCTAAAAAGAGACTATGTTGAGAAATGAACCGTCACTATTCCACAATTTTCATGTTTCTTTTGTAAGCTAAGTATTAATCCGACCGCCCTTGTGTTTTGTTTATATCAGAGTTCCCCAAACTTTTTTGTGTCGTAGACCCCTTGCCATGTTTTTCCGTGTTGGGTAGACCCCCTACTTACCTGATATTGGTTTCCTGTAAACTTCTAACTGTAGTGAAGTTTAGTGTTAAAAACTTAAAGCAAAAACACATGTTAATTTATACATTTATTAATTGAATTTAAATTAAAACTACTCAAAATAAAATTTTGTATCTACTATGTAAAATATACGTAACATTAAATAAACAGGTGTCTGACCAATAAGTGCCCGCATTGGGAATAAGTGCCCGCATTGAAAAAAAAAATAAGAGGGATAAAAGAAGAGTGAAAAATAATTTAAAAAAAATTTTTACTTAAAATAGTACAATAAGCGAGTTCGTTTATTAATTATAACATAAACGTATGTTCTACAATAATTTCACTGTTAGTTTGATTAAATTCCGCTTGTTATACGTTTAAGTTATCTAAAAATAGGCAAAAAATTAACGAATTTTAGTGTGTACCTATCCTTGAATTTTCAGAATAATTTAAAAAAATATATTATAAATATATTTAATATAAAGGGGGGTTTTTTAAAAAATTCAAGGCTGGCACTTATTTCCAATGCGGGCGTTTATTGATCAGGCACCAATAAACATAAAATAAACTATAAATAAAATAACATAAGCAATAAGTCAATATTTTTAGTGAGAAGGATGAACCTGATGCTTTAATAATAAATTATCAACATTGGGCGTCAATTTTGTAAGGGTTAATCTTAAATCACCTCGGCTAATGATGTACAGTCTGTTTCTTTTTTTCGTTAGGAGATTGGTAACAGCGCTGAACCCCCTTTCCACTAGGTATGACGATGGAAAGGAAATTAAACATTTCCTCGCTATATTCCATAATACGGGATAAGTAACGGGTATGTTGTTTTGCAGCCAGAATTGCTGATATCCGTTTTTAAACTGAACCTTAAGTTCTTTGTTTGTACTTAGTTCAGTCAGTTCCTCTTGTATTATGACATTCGTTTCTTCTATGTCACCATATGGATTAATTATCCACGGTGGTATTACCATAGTCAAAATATCCTCAAACCTAGATTCAAAATCTGAATAGAGGGCATTTAAATGTTGAACGTAAGTTGAAACGTCGTCTTCCTGGCAGCTTGTCTGTGACAAATTGGGGAACTGAGAAATTTCGCCCCGTCCAATATTTTGCTTCATTAGTTTAACTCTGGCAAGAAACGCTGATAAGATGGACTTTGTTTTAATCAAATTTAAACTGTCGCCTTGTAATTGCAAATTAACCATATTAATTTTGTAAACAAATCTGTTAAATAGGCGATGTCTGTTTTTCTCTTCATTAAATTTTCTTTTAAAATTTTACCTTTAGTATCCAGAAATTCTAAAATAGTCTCAAAAAGTGCAAAAAATCTTGTCAAACATAAGCCTTTCGACAGCCAGCGTACTTCAGTGTGAAGGAGTAATTGATGAAAGTGTTCGTCATTTTCTTCACACAACTGCGCAAATAACCGCGTATTCAACGCGTTGCTTCTGATTCGGTTTACTGCATCAATGACTAAATGAAGTGATTCATGCAATCTAACACTCAAATTTTTAGCAACTAAATGTTGTCGATGGATGACGCAATGTATTGCTAACACCCCTGACACATTTTGTTTTAAAGAGCTTATAAATCCACGATAACGTCCAACCATGGCAGGTGCTCCATCTGTAGCTACTGATATTATATTTGATAAAGGAATTGCTTTTTCAATGAAGTAATCCTTCAAAACATGAAATATTGGTTCACCTTTAGTGTCGGTTATTAAAGTTCTTGCGAAGAGCAGTTCTTCGTAGATTTCTTGATTCATAATAAAACGAACATATGCCAATAATAATGCTGCATTATCAGGTAAAATTGACTCGTCCAGTTGTATAGAGAAATGGGTCGTTTGCAAATAATTACATAAGAAGCTTTCAATATCAGAACTCATTTCATCAATACGTCTTTCAACAGTATTGTTGCTTAAGGGAATTCTTTTAATGATATCAGATGCAGGTTTATGTAAAACAGTTTTTAAAACCTCTTCAACGGCTGGCAAAATTAACTTCTCTCCGATAGTATGCGGTTTTCCGGATTTTGCTATAAGTAACGAGATATTGTATGACGCCCGCAAACCATCATCATTTCTTTGTGACGTCGAAGCGAACATTCTGTCCAGTATAGGCCCCTTCTGAAATTTATCTTTGAGTGTTTGAAAGTATTTCAAATCTTTCTCTGTTTTATCAGGGTGGCATCTTGTCAGATGGTCTTGCAGTTTAGATGGTTTCACAGCGTCATTGCCCAAAACTTTGTTGCATAAAAGGCATATAGGCGATTGTTTGTCCGGCAATGATGGAATGAAGCGAAATTTCAAATAATCAACACTGTACTGTCTACATTTCTTTTTAGATTCGGACATGGCATCACTCATCTGTGGGCAAGATTAAGTTATTTAAATAAGACAGAAAATCAAGCAGCTGTATATTAAAAATATTTTTTGATTTTTCCGAAAACATTCCATAATTCGAACATCTTCTTGCAACAATTAGCTCGAATTACGGAGATTGCACTTGCTAAAACTTTCAAAAAGAAACTATTGAGGAGTACTCGTGTAATTTTGCATGATTGAATATTTAACTACCAATAACTAAAGTCACGATTGGCGTAATTTATCTATCTTTGCTAACTACGAGTACAAAATTTAATAAAAAGTAATGTACTTACTTTTCTCGAGCACTCTGAAACAAAATAACACTGACTCACTATAATTTGTGTGATATACTATCTGTTTATATTTTTTAAAATATTTTCTTAGCACTTTCCTTTTCAAGATTCAGGAAACGAATAAACGTATTTGTCCCACATTCGTATTTATAGAGTGACGAATTGAACAAGTCAGTGCAAGGTAGCGAAGCTCTGAGACTGCGAATCTCAGGTTTTTAGAAGTTCAAAATGTATTGCGACCACAAAGCGAATACCAACATCCTACAACTTACACAATTTTATAAACATATATAATAAGTTTTTTACTTCATACGTACTTTTATAAATAATGTATATGTTTTGATATTATAAGATAGTATGATGTAAGTAAATTGGTACTAACAGTGTATGTGTTGAGATCCACTATCGTGGACCCCCATATTCATTTCATGGACCCCAAATTTTTTTTCGCTGACGTAGAACCCTTGCAGGTTGTCATAGACCCCTAGGGGTCGATATAGACCACTTTGGGAATCAATGGTCTATATGAACAACACATCAACACCTAGACAATAACCTTCCTCATCGGCACCGGTCAACAAACCACACCATCCCGCTACCCGGAATCGTCGACTCTCGAAGAAGTTGCGCCTCCAGGGTTTGGCTTGTCCTCCAGCTTGGCGTCCTTTAGGACCTTCGGCAGGATCGCGCCAGCAGGACAGCAGCATCGACAGGAGGTGTTCAGCCAAGCCGTCCCGCCGCGTTTATGGAGCGGAAGTGAACCGTGGCCACCGGAGGAGAGTTACAGTGAGCAGGGACGGATTCGTAAGCGGTCAGGGTGTTCGGTTTATGAAAAAGCAAAAAAGTGTTCAAGGATTGTCAGAAAGAAGTTATAACTCATTTTTTTGAAAGGGTATCATACGAGGGTATGGTGAAGAGATCTCGCCCTCCAGAAAAAATATCTTCAAATCTGGGAATAGATCGAAGACAGAGTGCCAAAGGTGGGATGGTCAAGCAAATTACGCGTCAAATCATGCAGTATTCCTATTGTTAGCAACACCTTTGCGATCATCTTCGTCTTCAGCCAGGCCTGTTTTCACGAATGTTCGCATCCAGTTAATCAATGAGATTGGAATGGTATTGGCTCGTAGTTGTTCTACTATTTTCTCAAGAGAATTCCTTTCACATCCCAAAACATGTCCTTCCCGACAGACGCAATCTACTTCTTTGATGTTGAATCACCGGCATCCTCCCACAGCTCCAACTTCTGTTTTGTTTCTGGCGTTCAGTGCTGGGACCTATCTCTCATCGATTCTTTTATCTCAAAGCATCCGCGTAGGCAGAGGCCTGAATGCCAGAGTACCGCGGTTGCTACGAGGATCCCAAAGAAATTTTGTTAATCCGATTTTTGAACTGCCTAGTAGTATTGGAAAAAGTCTCCTCTTGTAGATTGTTCCACAATCTCGACACCCTCCGGACAAAGGAGCGGTCGTAGTTCTCCATGTACCAAATTCGACACGATTAGCATGGGAGGTCGAAGTTGGGCGGTTTTGCCTGCCAGGTACGTCGCGCGGCGGCATCATGTAGGAGAGCTCTGAGGAGCAAAGCACGTTGGTGTAGCGGTAGAAGAGAGCTAAATCGCCGATGGCCTGCCGGTGCGGAAGGTTACCGTGATTGAGAAAGTTGCTGCTAGTTTTTTCTCCTACTCACTAGCAGAGATCGACTTGCCACTCTGAATTCCTGCATGAAAAGTGCTATCAACAGCAAAGCTGTGGATTGGATTGATCCTACATGAAAAGAGGTCGTTGAGGAGCAATGTCGGAGCCAAGACCGATCCCTGGGACACACCCGCGTTAATGTTGTGGGATGAAAAGGAGAAGCTGTCAATTATGACTGATGAGCGCTTTCGTGATCTACAAGGGCGTCGTCATAAGACTGAAGAGTCTACTTCACAATTGCGTGACGTAAGTTAGGACGACCTCTGTAGATCGCTGGTGCGGAAAACCATACCGTCTGTCGCTAATCAAGCCGTGACGTTCGAGGTACTCCAAAAGCTCTCGATTTATGCACCTCTCTATCCCCTTACCTACAAAAGAAGTAGAGCTGAAAGCCTGCGGTTGTAAGGGTCACTCTTAGATCATTTTTTTGTATGCGATATGAGAAAATTTTCAATTTTCTGGCGAGGTGCCGGATTCGTAAGATATCTGGAAGAGACGCGAATGAACTGGAGCAAGCCCTACTGCACAACTCTTCAATGCAACGGCAGGACTCAAATCCGGACCAGAAGCTTTGTTGATGTCGAGTGACAGAAGCACCCCACCCGTCTTATGATTTAATGCCTGAATGACACTCCCCGCATAGTGGAGGGAACCTTTTGAATCGACGGTACTGGTGGGGACGATCATGGTGCAGTTGACAGCAAAAATCTTGGCAACCACTTCAACCTTAGCATTTGGTTACAATCGTTCCATCTTGGCACTTAAGTGATAGAAGGCTACTTTCAATCTGCTTGGCAAGCGTCCAGAAAGACCGAATGTCATTGCGCTGTGATATAACCCTGTTCCTCATTTTCACATCGTGCTGGTCTTTGGCATTGCGGAGCACTTCGTTATATTTGTTTCTGGACTCGACGTCGGCTTGTCTGTTCTCTAAAATGGGGTTCTGTAAGAGGGTTCTGTGTGCCTTGATCTTCTGCTAACGAGCAGGGTCGCACGATTTGTTGAACCAGCCGTTGGTCTCTGGCTTAGGCGCTTTCACTGTATGAGGGAAGTATTTCTCTATGCCGACGTAGATAATTTCGGTTATTGACAAATAAGCATCTCTCCAAAAACAAACATTTCTCCAAGAAGACAAACATCTCAGAAACAAACACCTCTCCAAAGACAAACATTTCTCCAAGTAATAGTAATAGTACCTGCATAAAACCTTAATCATAATACCCTATTTGCCCTGCCTAGATATTGTTTTTAATGCACTATGATTTTTCTTTTCCTCAATTATTTTCATTTTCTTTTCTGTTTAATATGGGAATAAGGTTAGGCCGAGAAAAGCCGCTAGAAAACCAAATCCGTCACCGTTAATAGCACCTTAAGTTATTTTTTTATCTCAAGATATGTCTTTTCTCAATACATGATAGTCATAAAATCTGTGTGATTGTCAATAGATTGTTCAATAACAATAAGCGGGAGGCCTGCCAAAAGCGGAATATTTTGTTCCACGAATTTTCACGAGGATGTTTGGACAACGCAATTAAATGAGCAGCTAATATTTGTTGACGCATTTTGCCGAAGTACCACAGAAGATCGTGATCTCATTGTATCTTTTATTACCTGTCGTCTGACGACAATCACTCAAATGTGTTCAGTAGGGCGTCCCAGCCGATGAGGGCTAACTAACTTTTGTTCGAGTTGAGGTACACATAGTGGGCCAGAAAATTCTTCTTTGATGGTATGTAGCGTTTACCGTGGGCTGATGGACTTTCTCTGGCTAAGTTAGCAACAATTTTTACATTAGTTTAACCATTTACGTCGTCGTCAAACAGGGACAAGACAGATACCTCATCTGACAAATAATAATAATAATAATAATAATATTTATTCACTCAATGTACAAAGATAACAAACAATATGAGTAAATAAATATAAAATCAAAACAGGTCCAATAGAAGGATCGCCTGTACATGGACCAATAATTTTAAGTTGCAACTGTAGAATGCAAATGACAAAAAAGGACAAAATTAGCTACAGTAGATTATGTATTTAGTTGATGTTCGTATTTATGAGTTTATGAATTTCAGTCCTAGATATAGAATGTAGCCACTTTTTTAAATTTCTTTTGAAACAATTTCCGAAACGTCAATCTTTTAAGTCTTTATACGTAGGTATAATTTCATAAAATTTTGGCGCTAAATAGATATATGACCGCTGCATTATACATTTATGCGGCTGAGGAACTACTGTGCCACAAATTTTGTACCTTGTATAATGATTATGTTTAAGTTTTTGGTCGGTGTTTACAAATTTATGGTAGTGAGTGATACTGTGTAAGAAATAAAGCTGTCTTATACATCCGAACATCTGCGTATAATTTGTCAGTGGGATCAAGTTTCGGTTTTTTAAATATCATTTTTAGAATACTTTTTTGAAAAACATCTAAATTATAGATATGTGAGAAACATGCAGCTCCCCATGCTAATATACCATATGTGAGATGAGGCTTAATCAGTGCACGGTATAATGTTCGAAGATATTTTTCTGTCAATATATTCGCAAGGTATTTAATTTTGTAGGACACAAATCTAACTTTCTTTAAAATATAATTGACATGGATGTCCCATCCTAAGTGAGGATCCAAGACCACTCCAAGGTATTTTATGTTGGGAACTCTGTTAATTTGCATTTTTTTATCATTAATGTTGAAAGAAAAATTTGTGTAATTTGGCAGATGTCTAGCATAAGATCCAAACTGGTCAGTGCCTTCATATAATATTGCAGTATTATGTGAAAAACTGGTTATTTTGCCAACACAATCAATTTGGTAAATATCATTTAAATATATATTGAATAATAGCGGACCTAAGACAGTTCCTTGTGGGACACCACACTTAATATACATTTTTTCACTAAACGATCCTGATATCTGCAGAGATTGTGGGCGATTTGACAAATAATTTTCGATCAGTGAGTACGTATTTCCTCTGAAACCAATTCTCTCTAATGCTTCTAATAATAATTTGTGATTAACTGTGTCAAAAGCTTTCTTTAAATCAACAAAAATGCAGATTGAATGGATTCCGTTATCAATATTTTGATGTATTTGATTTACAATTTTAGTTATTGCGTCCGTGTTCATTTTCAGTTAAAATTTTGAAATTTGTGAGGTATCGAATCATTCTAGTAGATAAAACTTTTTCAAAAGCCTTTGTTACACTGGATATTACTGATATTGGTCTATGGTTGTTAACATCTGTTTTTGTTCCTGATTTATGTATCGGTATTATATTACCTTTCTTTTAAATTGAGGGATATATGCCAGATTCAAAGCATTTGTTTATTAGGTAAGTGAGTGGTTCTTTTATGTCCTCGGCTATAATTTTCAAATGCTCGCTTTTAATACCATCGAACCCAGGACTTTTTCGATTTTTTAAGGACATAACAGTGGTGTATACTTCGCATTGCTCGACTTTATCCAAAATAAATGAGTTCAAAGATCTTTTTGGAGGCTGAGTATTGGGTACATTATTTGCTTGTATATTACTCGCTAAATGTTCCCGATGTTGTATTTAACTCAGTGACACACTCTTTAAATTTTGTTTTCCCAGTAGTCTCATCAATAGTTGTCCAAAGCCGCTTAGGATCATTTAAGTTATTATTCAATTTATTTAGGTAATGTTTTCGTTTGGTTTGCCTTGCAAGCTCTATAAATTTATTTTTATATTGGTCGATATTCTCTGTAGTTGGCGTTAGTTTCATTACATTATACAGTCTTTCTTTTTCTATTGCCGATGTTATTAATCCTTTGGTAATCCAGGCATTTCTGCTTTTCTCTTTGTGACTAATTATTACTTTATTGGTACTAATATCTATTAGTTTTTTTTATTTTCTCTATGAACAGTCCCGTTGCTTTGTCTATATTATTTATAGAGCACAATTGTTCTCAGGATTTTTGTTTGACATTTGATATTAGTTTTGAATTGTCGACAAAAGATTTGTAATTTTCCAGGTTGTTATTAACGGTAGGGATGTTAGAATGTTTTTCATTTGAAGATATCAATAAAATAGTGGAGAAGTGGTCAGTAATATCGCTTTCTAGGATTATTGGTATACAAGTAATTTGTTGGATAGGTCTTTCACAGAGCAGTGATCTATACATGTGCCACGGATAGACCTTATAGGTAGGTTTATATAGGACAGAAATCCGTTACTTGATAGGATATTCACGTATTTATTTGTGATGGGATCATCGTCCAAAATATTTATATTGACATCTCCCAAGAAAATATGTTGCTTTAAATGGACGTTATTTTGATTTTGAAAAAAAAATCGATATTCTTTAAAAACTCGTGGGGTTCCGAACACCTTAATTTTGTTATGGTTAATTTGGATCATTATGTTTAAAATTTTGATTCCATCGGTAAAAGTGAATGTATCATGATTATATTGAAGTTTATTTCTTACAAAAAATATCACCCATCGTTTTGGTTATAAGTGCCAAACTTATACAGCGTGTCATATCCCTGCTGATTGAAGTACCAGAAATGATGACTTTTGTAAAGCTGCTTTTGAAATGGTTTTGTCAATTTGTTCATGAAGTGCATTGCAACCACGGTTTCACGGATGTTGTCACGATTAAGAGGCAGATATCTAATAGAGCTGCCTTATCCTTATTAGAGAGTGATCTGGGAACTTAGTAATGCTCTTTTTAATTAATATACTACTCTGACCATCCATCGAGCCTGATGCGCGGCAAATTTTTTCTTTGTATCTCCGCCACCTTTTCAGTATAAATCTGTATTTTTTCGGCATCCACACTTTTTCAGCTTTCGCGGAACTTTTTAAACATTGGAATGTCAGGGCTTGTATTCACTTGATCGATCTTTGATTCAAAGACGCCTTTTAACACCAAATCGTAGACGTGACGGCGGCAAGCAAAAATAAGCATTTCTTTATTAAGTTTCTGTTCGAGAAGCACGCAGGCACCGTATTTGAAGCAGTAATGCCACAAAAGAGAATCTCAACTTTATCTTCAAGAATCCAGTCAATAATGGCATCTCAAGCTGCCTACGCCTGCTCGCTGCCTGAAGAGCTATCTAATTTGGGCACAGCAATAAGTTGCCTTTTAATTTCATACGTTATAATAAATAGTCGGTAGATGTTCTTCTTTAGGCTTACGAGCATTTAAAGGTTAAAACAATTTGCCATCCCAGTTGGCAGTTACAGTACCCGGTACCTCGCTTTGTAAATCAGCTCCTGCGCGCTCCTTTCGCCTGTCGGTGCGAATTCTGTGAAGAGAGAACTTGCTTATAAGAAACTCGTCAGTGTTATGTCCAAGTGCCTGAATGTTTGCGTCAATAATAAAGACATTGTTTCTCATACTTAACTGACACCTATTTAATGCTGCCTCTCATTTTGGAGTTATGAAACTTTTCCTCATTTGAGTTTGATTAGTATCTGGCTATGTGCTCTGAGTTGGGATGGGAAAAGTATTCCTTCGTCATGAATTACAGTGCGTTTACTAATATGCCTAATATGCAAGTTAAGACATGGTCCATTGCAACTCGGCACGGGTTGCCCTTGTTCTAGGTACATAAAACTTTATTTACAATAGTTCTGTTCAAGCAAAATTAGAGGGTATGCATTTGAAACAAATAGTTTTTTTGGGACACCCCAGTGTTCAGTCACCTTGAAAGGGATACATCTAACTCTAACGCAACGCACACCCCTATCAGAGAAGAAACACCTCATGCACGAAGCCTATCCGCCCACGTCAACAAAAATCAGATCGGTGTTGCTTTCTCATAGTACGCAGCTGCTCCGTCGAGCGTGCGCTCTAAATAATTTTGCTGTAACTAAAAACAGAAAGATTTATTGATAATTTAAACATGCAAATTAGAAACATAATTTCACCATTAGCATGAATTTTGTATCCAATCTGAGCGTTAGGCCCTCTAATCCTCCCTCATTGGCGACGGTGTCAGGGGTTTAGAAAGGGTGAAAAGAGCGAAAAGCTGCAATAGCACTTTTTGATATTTGAAATATATAATACTCCTAGGAACCTAGATTATTGAAATGAAATAGGCACAAAAATAAAAATAATTCAGCCAACTCCGATTTTAGAATTCCAATATGAAGTTTGGTATAATATATTTAGTATGCAGTCTTTGAAATTATCAGATTTCACTTATTTCGTATATCAGACCAGACGTCAAACTGAACATAGCAACAGGGTTTGAAAGACTGAGGAAAAAAATAAATAGTGCAGTGAACAATGGACAGAGAAGAGTTAGGCTTTGCCTACAAAATAACGGACATTTTGAACATCTGCTATGATTTACCTATGCTTATTTAGGATTTTTATTGTTGTTGTCATCAATAAAATTTTCATTTTGTGTTCAAATACCACCATACCTTTTTGTTTCCTTATAGTTTTCATCAAACAACAAATTTATGTCCAACTGCCATCACTGAACTTAGGACTGAAAAGTCCATTTAAATGTACAAAATTCCAATATAGCGTCCTGATGATATAGTTGAGGTGACAACGTTGTTTTGTAATTGCGGTAAAGAGATTTTGTGGTTTTTGCTATAAAATCAACGAGTTAAATTCTAAAAATGTAATTGTTATAGAAGTGAACTCCTTTATGTGTGCATCTAAGAAGGCGTGAGTGAGTGAAGCATTATTATTTTTTGGTTAGATGCCATTTGCTTTCTGGTAGTTGAACGACAGGGCTGCCATGCCAGATTGACTAGCACCAAAATCCTTTAATGCAGGAGGCAAGGACATCAACATGCAAGAAATTGAAACGTGTGATTTTTGCAAAAAGACGGTATCTGATGATGATGAATGTGTGATAAGTGCCTGATATGGAGGCATCAGATCTTGGGCTAAAATCATACCAAAAGTTAACAAAGTCCGTTGATCCCTGGCACTATGAAAGCTGCAAGATGTAAAACATAAGAACACACGCAAGAAGGGCGAAGCCTCAGGGTGATGCAAATCTGGCTTCTGGTGCTGCATATATCCTTGCTCATGTGATGGGGAACCTGGAGGAGATCGACAGAAAATATAATCAGCTGTTTGCAAAGTATAATGAACAAGTTGCTTCAAACAATGATTTTAGGCAGGAAGTTTTAAATATAAAGAGACAGCTTAATTAATACAAGTGGGCAAAAAGAATTGAACAGGAATATCACCAAAAATAGCGTACCAAGTGAAAAATAATATTAAGATCAAAGTTGCAGTCAGGTGTAAATGCACAAAATTTAGGATTCAACACAAATAGAATTTTTTTTCTAAATCGTGATTTAACAAAACGAAACCTGGAACTATTTAAGGATGCACAGAAATTTAAAAATGACGATGATTGCAAATTTCTATGGATTAGCAGTGGTAAGATATTGTTGATAAAATTGAAAATATAATTTACATAAACATTCACAGTCAGCTTCATAATGTAGGGCACAAACCAGAGCGGTGGCGGCCGCGGTGGGGATAGCGATCGCGATGGCGAGCAAATAAGGCGCCTGTAACTAAACCGAAGTGCCCACACCTGCAAACGCGCTTGCTCTCTTTGCCGCCTTCTAGCGCGGCCAACTTGCGGCCTGCGGTAGAACGCTGCATGGATTATTTGCCCGCATAGTTCGCGGGATATTCTTTTTATGGAGTAGTAGCAAACATGTCTGATACCGAAAAAATTATCGAAAATGTGCGGGAACATTCCTTATCTCACAGTGACTATCAGAAAATTAAAAAAGGACAAAATATAGGACAAAATTGCTTTATCTATGGATGAAACGAAGTAGCTACAGTGTTTGCTTTCATAGATTTTCATCTAGACAAAACAAGTCTCATCTAATTATTAAAATATGAAACAATTTTTAATTGTCCCGAGGTCGGGCTGCTGTTCATGCTCCTCTGGCTTTATCAAATTCAAAATATCATCAAAACAATCCATAGTCATGCTAAAATAGACAAAAAACTCTATCCTCTCTTAGTCTATGATGAAGTATTGTATGAAATTCTCCTGTGCTTTCCCGATCACAATTGATATCATGAACCCAAATCCTTCGCTTTTTCCTAAACAAAAAAAGAAATGTAAATAATAACTTGTGTACAGTTTGGATTTGCAATTCTTATTATTATTAGTAATTTGTTTATATACTTACCTTTCCTTATCTTCATCCACTAACAAAGCCTAAAGCAAAGCTTCTACTTCTATATTCTGTGCACTCATTGCATACTTTAATTCTGAATACTCTTAAAGATACTAAATTTGTCGCTGAGACATTGCATTGGTTTGCGGGCATAGAGTCCGCCTGATGACCGCCACCGCAATCGTTATCGCCACCGCAGCCGCCACCGCTCTGGTTTGCGCCCCACATGAATTAGATTAGAAATATAATGTTAAACGGTACAACGTGCATGTGATTTTCTACTACATGTTGAAACTTGTCTACACGAATATGAAGCATGGTTATGCAATCTTAGTGGTTACAAATCCTTGCATACGTGTAGAGATAAAAGGAAAGGTGGAGCATCCACATTTGTAAAGGAGGAACTAAGAATTAAAGAATTTGGTAAGTCCGCTCTAGATAATAATCTTAGTTGGATAAGTGCTAACCTTGTAGATTATGATGTCAAACTAAGCTCAATCTATAAGCGCCCCACATATGATAATGGGCAGTTTCTTGACTGTTTGGAAAATATTATTTCAGAAAATCGAAAACGTCATATTATTGCGGGTAAGCTTAATATCAATCTACTGGATAAGCAAACCAACCTAGTTCAAGGTTAGAAGGATACTACAAAAAAGGGCAATTATAATATCTGCAATGAAATCGGTTTCTGCTACGCTACCAGACTAACTGCTAACCCAAAAAGTATTGTTGATCATGTATTGGCAGAACAGGGCTACTACAAAAACTGCTCAGTAGTGGTTGAGGAAAATCTATTGTCAGCCCATTGCAAGCTATTGATTATCTTGAAGGAAGAACGAAAAGTGTATAACGAAAAAGCTGCGCGTGAGGTTAAACATAATGATAATGAGAAGATGGTTCAATTGTTCGGAGAGCAAATTAATTCAGGTCATATAGATAGCTCCTAGCAACTTATAGATTTAATTTCTTAATGTAAGAAGGAGTCCGAGTATAGTAAAGATATAAAATGCCATGATAAAAATATCTGGATCACCAAGGAATTAATGGAAATTATAGCATTACAGGACAAACTATACAGGAGGAAACAGGTTGACCTCAATGGTGAAGATGCTGAATCTAAATTCAAAAATATAAAAAATAAAATTAACAACAAAATAAAGACCCTCAAAAATGAACATCTTAGGAAGAAGTGGAACAAAACTGGTAATAGCGCCAAAAAAAATGGAGATTAGTAAATAGCATGATGAATAAGCCCGTCGATCCCATATAGTGAACAGTATTACTATTGATGATCCAGTAGCCTTAGTGTACGGATTAAACAATCATTTTGCAGTGGTTAGTAAAAACATAGTTTCTGACATAGACATCTACCTAGAAAGTATTGGAGAAGATTTTAATTTGCACTGTGAAAATAGCTGCTTTATTGAAAATACGAACAGGAAAGAGATTATAAACATACTCATACCTCAAAAAATCATCGGCTCGTCATGATAAAATTACTGGAAAAGATCTACTAAACCTAAAATATCATCTTGTGGATGTACTCGTAAAGCTGATTAATAATATGCTTTCTGGTGGTAGTTTTCCAGAAATCCTTAAAATAAGTAAAATTAGTCCCGTTTTTAAATTTGGTGAAACAATTATAGACCAATGTCAGTGAGTAGTGTGCTCTCAAAAGTTTTTAAATCATAATGGAAAAAAGAATGTTAGGATTTTTTTAAAAATATATCGGCATGGACAGACTTCAGTATGGTTTTATAAAAGGCGGTTACGCATTGAGCGCAACAATGGATCGTGTAAATAAAAGATTTAGATAATAAAAAACTGTAATTGACATGTTTGTAGACCTTAGTAAGGCATTTGATGTTTTAACTTTCGATATTTTATTGCAAAAGCTCAGAGTCACGGGATTTGGAGGGAAATTATATAATTTATTGAAGTCGTATCTAGTTGACAGAAAGCAATATGTCAAAACAGGAAACAGCAAGCAAATTTTTTGACAAATTTGTCTGGTGTACCCCAAGGGTCTCTTTTATACTCACTCTATGTTAGTTTGCGTTGCGCTAATCTTAACTGTGATTACTTTACCCTTGCAGACGATACTGTATTGTTATATTCAGGGGATAGTGAAATAAGTTTGGAATCTGTAATAAATAACGATTTAAGTCTGTATTACAAATGGTTTTATCTAATAAGTTGAAGATAAACCTAGGAAAAACTAAGTCTATCATGTTCAAATAAGAAAATAGACATTTAATTGTGCCAAGTATTAAAATTACTGATGTTGGAATCGAGCAGACAGGATGTATAAGGTTTTTAGATTTAATGGTGGATATAATAATTTATCTTGGCATGGACATGTTAACCATGTAATAAATAAGATCACTTCAATCGTTGGAGCACTGTATAAGAATAGATCACTATTTACTGATAGAGTTAAGTATAACATCTAAAGCGCATACTTCCAATCATGTCACATATCTTCTACCAGTATGGGGGGTATGTGGAAAGGTTAATTTTAGTAAGGTAGAAATGGTTTAAAATAAGTCAGTAGAAATCTTATATAATCTGGTCTGGTGTACACCACGCCTAACCTGCATGAGAAATGAACATCTTCAACATGAATCAGCTACTTGAGTTAGAACAAGGTACATTTATGCAATGTGTTTGGTTACCAACTAGCTATATTTGAAAGACGTGTAGAACAGTCCATTTTAACCACAAGTTAACTCCATAAGAGAGATCTACGCCTACCCCCTCGGAATTGCCGCCATGTTTTTTTTTGATATAAAAAAATGACATGTCTGTCATTTTAATCAATAATAAAAATAATAATAATAATAATAATAATAATAAACGTCTTTATTTCCAAATAGACTGAGTATATAAAAAATAGCCAAATACGGGCGAAGTTCAGCTGTAGCTGCTCTTCCACTTAACCCGCTATACAAAGTCTGTACAAAAGGGGAGTGAGACCTACTTATTTTACACATTACAATTACTAAATGTATATGCAGTGCTTACATTACCAATACATCTACTATAAAAGAAACATAAACTTGTATCAATATTTTCCTGAAACATGGTTACTACTGCTGCTATAAGAGATATTTTTTTAATTGAGTTTGAAACTTGAGATGCTCAGAGTTTTATATTGTACCGGAAGGGTGTTATAAATGGAACAAATTTGGTAGCTGAACGATCGTTCAAATTGGGCTGTTCGGAATATCGGCGGTGTCAACAACCCCCTGGATCTTATATTGATGTTATGCATATCTGTTCGAAATGAAACTTTTTCAAATAAGTAAGTGGGGGTCTTATACAAAATTATTTTATGATATAATGTTGCGGCATGCAAAAATCTTCTTGTTTCCATGTTCAACCATTTCGCATCTTTCAACTTATGCGATATTCGGTCTCGTCTTCTGATGCCATATATTAATCTGAGGCAAGAATTCTGCGCAACCTGAATTTTTTGTTTGTAAGTGGCAGTTAAGCACGGGTCATACAACATATCAGAAAAATTTAAGTGCGAGAGCACCAACGACTCACATAGATCTATTTTGACTTTAACGGGAAGGTTACGTCTGTTGCCGTACAATATTTTTAAAGAGGAATATGCCTTGCGAATGAGCGAATTTACATGTTTTTCAAATCTTAAATTTACATCCAGTGTTACACCCAAGTTCTTTGCTTCACTGACAGTTTCAAGTTGTTGTGCATTGATGGTAAAGTTAATTGAGTTAGTAACAGCCTGGCGCGCATGCTTTGGCCCAAATACAATTACTTTAGATTTTCTAGAGTTAAGATGTAAACAATGTTCTTCGGCATTCTTTGTCAATAATGATAAATCTCTGTTGATGGTTGCACTCACAATGTCCACATCGCTGGGTAGAAAAGTATGATACAGCTGAGTGTCATCAGCATAGCAGTGCATTTTGCAAGTATTTAAGCCTTTGCCCAGGTATGAAGAATAAATTGCAAAAAGGAGTGGTCCCATAACAGAGCCTTGCGGCACGCCTGATTTTAAGGCTAATACGTTAGAATAACTTCCCTCCAAGAAAACCTTTTGCTTTCTGCTCTTTAGATACTTACTGAAAGTTGACACTATCCGAATCGAGGCCTATAAAATGCAATATATTTAGGAGTAAATTAAAATTGATCGTATCGAAAGCTCGACTAAAATCCAACATTATCAAAACTGTACACCTTCCCTGATCAGTGGCTCTGATAATGTCATCTGTTACATGTAGAAGTGCAGTTGTACAGCTAAAATTCTTTCTAAAACCAGATTGAATTGGAGAAAGTAAAGAAAACTTTGATAGATGTTCCATTAATTGCAAGGCAACCGCTTTTTCTAATAATTTTGACAATGCTGGTAAGATGCTTATTCCTCTGAGGTGATTAAAATCTGAAGGATTTAGCTTTTTGGGAATTACTTTTACAACTGCACTCCCCCATACTTCTGGAAAAACATTTTGAATCAAACAACAATTTATTATATGCCTGATATAAGGAATAACATGTAGACAGCAAAGTTTTATTAGAAAGATACTCACGCCACCACAGCCTGCAGCATTTGTTTTAATACCAGAGATAGCTTGATATATGAATATTTCATCAATTTGTCTAAATTTGAATTTGGAGTTTGTCAGTCAGTTATTTTTGTAAAAAATTATTAAGGAATCTGGAGGTTCACTTGGGAAGATGGAATTTATAAAAAAATCATTCAGAAGGTTCACATCCATTAGGTTAGGGGGCAATGAGTTACTAAAGTTATTTTTTAGCATCTTGTTTTGTTTTAATATCCTCCACATTTGCTGAGAGCTGCTATGTAAGAACTTATGGAAGAAATACGCTCTTTTCTCTCTTCCAATAGCGCTAGTGACATAATTCTTTAAATCTTTATAATACTGTAAGTGCGCATGAGTACCTGATCGTTTATATCTTTTAAGTGCTTCATCACCGAGCTGCTGCATTTGTTTGATCGTATCAGTCATCCATTCCGCCCGACCTTTTGTAACGCGTTTTCTAACTAAAGGGGCATGTCTGTCGAATAATTCAACTAAGCAGTTAGTGAAAAAGGCTATTTTCGTACCAATGCTGTCTTGGTCGAACATTTGGAAAAAAGATATACCACGGAGATCATTCATAAAATGTTCTTCATTGAAAAACTGGAAACTTCTATAAGTGATAAATTTTTCTTTTGAATGTGGATTACCAAC